TCCAGCAGACAGGCCCCTCCGACTTCACGAGAATTCAAAGGTCTCCGTTTACCCATCGGTCGGAAAGAAGATAACTCCTTTCTCTCTTCATAAGAGGATTGGATCTTGAGCATTTCTTTTACCTTTTCAAAAGATGGAAAACAGCATACGCACAAGAAGAAGAAACCTCCTTTCTCTCTTGGCAGTGGAAGGAGATCCTGATTATTTCCCTTGCCTTTTCAAAAGATGGAAAAGGGCATACGCTCAAGAAGACAGGGCGGAGATTCCCCCACCCCTCAACGAAAACACGGAGAGAGTCCCTCCAAGTCATTCAGCTGATTTCTAGCAGCGAGCTACTCTACCTCTTGGTAGGTCTCCATCTCCTCTGAAGAGAATTGAAAGGAGCTCGCTTCTAGCCGAAGAAGACAAGGCTCAAAGCATCTCCAGTTTCAGAAAGAACTGCGGCTGCTTCTTAGTCGACGAGAAGAGAGAGGAGCTCCTTGTCGTCCCCTCTTCCTCCTCAAGGCATAGAAGAGAGAGAGCTTTCAAGAAGTGAGGACAGAGCTCTCTCAATCGACAAAAGAAGAGTCCGACCTCCCCTCAGCCTTCAACAAGACATGTGCAGCCCTCTACCCCATGCTCTGAATTAGCTTTAAACAAGACAAATCCTCTGCCTCATCCTCGACAAGAAGAGACTGAGAGCTTCCTCCAATCTAATGTGACAGAAGAAAGCGCCATCTCAAGAAAGCAAACAAGCCGCTCCAACTTCATGAGAAAGAAGAGGGCTCCTCGGCAAGAAGAGACCTCCTTTCTTTCCTGATAAGGGCAGGGGATCCTGATTATTTCCGCTGCTGTTTTAAAAATGGAAGAGAGCATACACTCAAGAAGAAAGGGTGGAGCTCCCCCAATTTTCAAATAGACACATCTGGTCGTCCCTCAGCTTTCAAAAGGAAATGACCTCATGCTCCAAAACAAGAGTCCCCAGTATATTCATGGCAACGGAAGAGAGCATCCTTCTAGAAGAGAGCATCCCTTTTTACCTCTTGGTATGTCGCCTTTTCGTTTTAAGACTAAGCGTCTCCATAAGGAACCCGCGCTTTTTAGTGTGTTCAACACTTCAAGGCCTGGTTTGGCGGTTTCCGGTTTGGTTTTTGAGGGGGGGGGTGGGGGGGGGGACAATTACGTACATTGGAAGCGCGTCAAGACACCCACGAAGTCACTGACAAGCCTAAGCCCCAAACACGTCTTTACTCTAGGGTCCCAAACCCTTAAACGCCTCCAAACCCCAAGCCCTTCAAGGCCTCGAAGCTCGAAGCCCTAGCATGGCACATGCAAGCTCAGGTGCACACGCACAAAAAGAGAAGTGTACCGGATGGTTGCCGAGACACAGGGGCTCAATCCAGGGGGTTGTGTGGTTTGTTGAGGTTGGGTTTCTACTTCTGGTGGGGTTGGAGTACAAGTCCAGGGATTTTTGGGTTCGTCTAGTCTGGGGTGTCGCGTGCAGGGTACTCCCAGACTGCCCGAGCAAGGACGTTCATGTAAAGTTTCGGGTTTGGAGTTGTGGGTTCAGGGTACTCCCACTTTGCCATGGACGTGACACCAGGTGGTGCCATGGCTGGCTCTCGGCATTTCCATGGTCCTTTGCACTCGGAGAGGCTGCAAGCGCAAATTTCATGTTCAGCTTTTCGGTTGCGCCCAGCGGCCGGACGCCAATGGGCGTGGCCTGCGTGTGCACGTCTACGAGATGGAGCTCGCAGAGACATGCTTGCGTGCAGTTTCCCCTGTGAAGGCCTGAATGTTTTCCATATATGGTCCTGTTTCCTCAACATTTTGAGTTTCGTTTTCGCGAACATTTCGCCAGCCAGAGGACCTTCGACGTGTCACACTTTGCAACGGCCTTCGCTGCATCGACGGATGCCGCACGGAGGCGGTCGTGAGTGATGGGGCGCGCTTGTACCCTACTGTAGCCGACGACCTAGGTTTGCCTCACTACCATGTCACCCACGGCAAAGGCATGTGGCGTAAAATGTACCGTCGGGGCCGGAAGCCTGCTTTGCAGGCGGATTCTGGCACCATTGATAGTAGCTGGAAATATCTTCAGCAGTCCCTTCGGCAACGAGCCTCGTGCGAACCCTGAGCTGTTGCAATATGTGTATCAGTGGTGTACTCGCTTTCATCACAACGGGAACATGAGAGCACTGCTCCTCATGCTGGGTCGCTTCCTGAAGCAGAATCGCTTCAGCAACTTCTGAAATCGACGGGGCAACTAACTTTCGACGCAGGAAAACAGTCCGAAATACTGCGCCTGTCAGCAATTTGCGCGGGTGCGCTGTGGAAGCGCTAGGTTTTAAGAAGATTGAAGAGACCTCGCTCCTCGCAAGAAAGGACAGAGCTCCCCTAGCTTCCAAAAAGAAAGATTTTCTACCTCATCCTCCACAAGAAATGACTGAGAGCTTCCTCCCATGTAATGAGACGCAAGAGAGCTCCATCTCAGTCCAGCAGACAGGCCCCTCCAACTTCACGAGAATTCAAAGGTCTCCGTTTACCCATCGGTCGGAAAGAAGATAACTCCTTTCTCTCTTCATAAGGGGATTGGATCTTGAGCATTTCTTTTGCCTGTTCAAAAGATGGACAACAGCATACGCAAAAGAAGAAGAAACCTCCTTTCTCTCTTGGCAGTGGAAAGAAATCCTGATTATTTCCCTTACCTTTTCAAAAGATGGAAAAGGGCATACGCTCAAGAAGACAGGGCGGAGATTCCCCCACCCCTCAACGAAAACACGGAGAGAGTCCCTCCAAGTCATTCAGCTGATTTCTAGCAGCGAGCTACTCTACCTCTTGGTAGGTCTCCATCTTCTCTGAAGAGAATTGACAGGAGCTCGGAACCGCCCCGAGCACAAAGATCTAAGATGGCCGTGACAATACCGCAGGATTCACACGACATGGCACCAATGGCGAAGCTGCTTGTGAATCGCGGGCTGCACCCAACTTTCGACCCCTACGATGACGACTCCGGCGACGATGAGCGCGCCTCCCATGTCGAGATCCCCTTTGCAGCAGCTGAACCTGCTGACGACGAGGAACCGTCCCGCTCTCCCGCCCCCCGAACCAGCCGGGGCGCCGCCCAAGTTGTCACATGCACAAAGGGAGTGTCGCATTCCGAGAACAAAGCACAGCTGAATACCGAGCTCTATGACGCGAAAAGCGCCGACAGAACGACTGGGAGCCCCCGTCAGCGTGAAGGCCGCTCCAGGACGTCATGGTGGTCAAGCGGGTACTTCATCTAGTGAAACGCAACTCCGTGTCCTGATCATCACGCGTCTTGTTCTGGTCCCACCCGGGGAAACACCCGGTTGAGAAGTTTTCAAAAGGTGACAGCCCCAACACTTGACACCTCGTTGTATGAAAATGTAAAACGTGGTCTTCGGATGGTGCTTCCATAATTCAACGACGGGCCGCTGTGGAGCCATCCCCATTCGATCCAACCTTGCCCCTATCTGGCACCATGTAACCTATTCCTTTCTTGCCAGAGGAGCAGTGCCTCCCAAATTTTCGCTTTTCACCACGAAAATCCTGGAAGTGGGGGCTTAGCCCCAGAACCGCTTGGTAGCATGACCTTTGCACGGACTGTGTCTGTGCACGTTGTGCTGGTTGATAGTTTCCCGTTCGCTGTTGCTGCCCTTGTCATGGCAGGTCATTGATTTTAAGTTACGGATTGTACGAGGTACGAGGGAATGCGCTGTACGCTCGAACCTTTGTTTGTCACCGCGAACTTCCTGGAAGGGGGGGATTAAGCCCCGTAACTGCATGTGTAGGTAACATGACATTTGGGGGTGTTGTGTCCCGGCAAGTCTTCTCCGTTCGCTGTTGTTGCCCTTGTCAAGACAGGTCATTCATTCTAGAAATAAGACACATGCCTCTTGTACGCGGACTTGAAACAAATTCAATCTGATTCAATCCGAATCTTTCAATGCCATGCGGATCGGAAAACAACCCGCTATGTGAGTACTTCCTCTTCTTGCCGTATTGGCTCTGTCTCCGAGTCCAGTTGTCGAGGAAAGCCAACGTCCTTTTGCGCTCCCGAAGCCGTGGTCTGCATGCAACGTTTTACCACCCGCAACTGTCGGGTGCGCACAAGCGCGCGGTGGAGGGGGTCAAACCGTTCACCGTGGCGAAAGCAAGAAAGAGAGAAAGAGGGAGAAAGAGAGAGCGAGAGAGAAAGGGAGAGGGGGAGAGGGAGGAGCCAGTAGCCAGAAGAAGTCGGGGGCAACTCCCAGAGACAAACCCTCAAGTTCTTGGCGTAGGGAGTAGACCATTGTACCCCGACACGGAGTGGCTCCCGCACAAAGGCTTGAAAGTGAAGCCCGCCGCTGGTATATCGCAACTTCCGAGTGGCAGTGACCATCAACAAGGTTTATGAATGTATGAGGGTTCGGGGGCTTCCCGAAGAAGGCGGGGATACAGGGTGGGGAGTTCTCATGGAGACAACGGAAGCGGACAGCCTTCATACCCGTGTCACACCGAGTCAAGACAGAACCTCAGCGTAGCGTGAGAGCGCAAGGGTGCAGGGAACTCCCTACACCGTAAGCGCTGTGCAGGCAAGCAAGCAAGCAAGCAAGCAAGCAAGGGAGAGAGAGAGAGAGAGAGAGAGGGCGAGAGGGGGAGAGACAGAGAATGCAACAGAGATCTGAGTCTGAGTGGGTGATAGAGTAGGTGAGAATGAGTGAGATTGTGTGTGACTCTGTGTCTGTTTGTCTGTATGTTTGTGTCTGTGTGTCTCTGTGTGGGTGTGTGTGTGTGTTTCGCTGTGCCGAGGTCAGACGGCCCAGATTCACCCTGATCAACCCGTTTCACGACGTTTCACCTGTACTCACCGACCTTTGCACGCGGAAAGGCTTCGGGAGTAGTAGACTCTGCGCATGCGAAGCCAACCTGAGCAGATGATGCGAGAAGAAGAGATGAGACAGTTGCTTGCCTGAGCCTGCACTCCGCCGTAGCTCTTTGTCTCTTGTTCTTTCCAGATGGCGCGTGACCGGCTGCCACCTTCCTTGGAGATCTGCGAAACGAAGTCCAAGGGCCGTGGCGTCTTTGCAGCTGGAGCCCTGGAGCGAGAGCCGGAGCAGAGCATGGCGGAGCCCACACAGGCCTCGCGGATTCCTCGCTTCGAGGGGGTCTTGGCCGTGCGGATTTGGGCCGTCGCCTTGGCACTTCCGGCCCGACCGTTCCGCTGTCGCTCCTGCTTCCGTCCAGGGCCAAGAAAGTGAGATTCTTGTCCTTTGCAGAAAAAGACATGCCTTGGCCTCCAAGGTGCCAGTGGACGTGGGGGGCCACTCCAGGCCTGCTCCGTTTGCGGCCAGGCTTACTTCTGCGCCACTTGCCGCCAGTCTGCGGAGACAGAGGACCGCAAAGCCTGACCGCACTTTCTGTGGCGCTGTATGGCTTCAGACTTTAGTTTAATCTTTTGACGCGGTGCAGACAACCTTATATGGGAAGTTGGACGTTTGAATTCCCTGGCTTGTTGATAGCACACCCAAAAAACATACCGGCGAAGACCCCAGACCCCTGGTAGCTGGTCAAGCATCATGAAGAAAAGTCCGTCGTTTCGGGCATAAGATTTGGCCGAGGTCTTAATTAAACAGGAAGCTGAACCAGTTGGCTTTTCTTGGTGCTCTCCCGCCAAGTTTGCCACTTTCAGGCGGCCAGCCATTCCCGTGCACTCAAGCAACAAGCTCGGACATGCGATGTGTTTCAAGTCCGGAGTTTGGCACGTACCGCACGTGCAGCATATGGCTTATGGATATGGATGCTTATGGTCCGAAGTGGTACGCCTCGCAAGCACCTCAAGCCTCAAGCTATCCAGCACGGTGGCAACAGTTTGACAAGCCGAAGCCTGGCAAATCCGGCTGTTGTCAGGAGAAGCACAGGCACGAGTGCCAGGAGCTCGGAGGCTCGGAAGGGAAAGCACCGCAGCGGACCAGCCTTGCTCGCAAAGGCCTGCTGCTTCAGCGCCTGGAAGGCTTCAGCTCCAAGCAGGCGCCGACTTGCGTCCCGTGCTTTTGCTGTTTCGTAGCCGCCGTAGCCTTTGCCAGGTTCAGACGGAAGTGCGTGCGAACGTGGCATTGCTCATTTCCTTGCATGCCTTCATTCAGACTGATCCAACAGGCCCTCACTGCGCATGTACATCTGGGTGCTACTTAACTACTTGCTTACACCATAAGGCTATAATATGGCATGAGGGTAAAGTCAAAGATTTCTGCATCGGTTGGGCTCTATGCAAAGATATTCGCTTCAGCACCGCACTCGCGGTACTTGTCCTGATTTTGGCGCCAGCAATTCCACTGTAGTCGCTCCTAGGGCCCCAGGGTTCGGCGGCTGGAGGAGAGAAACCAGGAAGCCCGGAACTGCTCCACTGCTCGATCTCCCGAAGCATTTACACTTTACACTGCTGTCGGTCGGCTGCTCTGCATGTTCAGCATCGTTAGCTAAAAATGCCTGTCGTTCGGCCGCAAAAGCAGGTCATCAGCTTGCAATTGCTGTTGCCGAGTCAATCGTCCTCCCGCTTTCGCTTTGCTTGCGGAAACTTACACGAGCTCTCGCACTTGCTTTCTGAAGTGGAGGAGATAAGCCAGCTTACTCGATAGTCTTGTGCTTCTGGACGTTTTCACATCCTCCTCAGAGCCAAAAGGCCGTCAGAGAGCTTTGAGAGGCTTCTCAGAGCCCTACAGAAGCCCAATTTTTTGCATGGCAATATGCAATATCCTTACACTTGTCAGGAGTTGCTGGATGACCAGCAGAACAGCAACCGCATGCAAGGAGCTGTAGCTGTGACATGCTGTAGCCTGGTTGGCTAGTGCTCAAACGGATTTGCAGGCATCCGTGTACAACATTGGGTCTGCCGATTAAGGCACGTGCGAGACATCCCTTGTAGCAGCTGCTAACAGACATCTCGAAGCGAGGAGCTTTGACGTTTCCACCAGTCAGAAAACAAGTCAGACGTTGCGATCTTCTGAGATTGACTCTGTGACGTTGGAAACTCATAACTGTAGTTATATAGAATTGGGAGCCTGGGTCCCAAATTCTTCATTTAAAGGCTGCCAGCTTTTTGACTCTTTCAGCTCATTCTTGGCATAATGTCTTTCTGCTGCCGCCTCAGCCGGCAGTATCGCCTGTGAGAAGCCATGTCAAAAACTGTCACATGGATGGGACTGGTCCAGAGATTCCTTCGGGACGGATTCAACAGTGCCCGAATCCTGAAGCTGGGCAATGCAGGATTGTAGTTTCCAGCAGCTCAACATGCATGAGGATAGAGAAGTTTCTTCGTTGCCTGGATCCTCGACTGGGTGCTGTCTCTGTGTTGGCGGAACGAACAATCCGATTCTCGTTGGCTCGTGGTCTCGGATTTGGCGGCCGTCGTCGGAAGATAGACCGCAATCCTCGTTTCCGTTTGGAGATCTCACGGGTCAAGTCATCTGCCATATCCTTACAATCCAATGCAGATGCTTTTAAATCTAATTGGAGTCGGCTTGCATTCTTAGTGACAGGAGTGTGACCTGCAGGCAACATGAGCGACCTTCTCGACTTGGTGCAAGAGCCGCTGTCGCGACCGGGTGCTGCTTGGCTGCTCCACTGGAGTCAGACATCCACCCGTACCACAAAGTGTGCAGCAAGGACAAAGACAGGATGCAATTCTCCAGTTTTGGCGCCACATCAGATATCCGAGGAAAATCGAGTGAGACCCGTGGGAACACATACACGGGAATGCATGGTGCCTGTGTGTCTGCTCTGCACTCACGACTCAGCAGCTGTCTACAAAAAGGACCACCAGAGACCGTTTCTCAGCGAGCAAATTCGAAAAAGTGTTGCCCTACAGGACACTTACGGGCACCTGGTGAGGAAATACCAACAGTTTCGCAAGACATGTCCCGAAGTACATTAGCAAGCCGAAGTGTTACAAGTGTTGAGCGATACTTGCGAAGTTCTCATGCAAACACCCCTTGTCAAGGTACAACATTGGAATCCCGCCAATCACGTTTGGCTTCCCCAGACATCACGGCATTGAACACTGTCATCGGCAGCGTGACAGCTTTCACAGGTTGAGGATAAATCGTCACGGCCACAGGCCACGTCTTGCGGGCGGCGATGATTGAAGTCAAATCGTAATGACAATGAAGTGTCAAGACTACTAGTAAACTTTGTTGCTACTGAAAATCAGCGACCAGAAACGTAGCCCTTCGTGGCCGAGGCCACGAAGAGGCAGATTGCCACATCGCCGAACCCGCTCGGTATCACTTCCAAGTTCCGCAGCTTTAAACACATGTTTCCCGGGGGCGGCCCACGGGCGAGCAGCAGACACATCTTCGAAATCTATCGAAATGCTCGGAAACTCATGCCAGCCATCGGCACCCCGCGGCAGGGGGGCTACAGCCGAGGCCCGGCGCCGCGCGCGGCTTCGGGCCATGGCCGCGAAGCTCTTCCTGGAGATCCTGAGCAACTCCGGCGGAGGGCCAGGCCGCCTGGGCCTGCCACCCGAAGACCTCACCGCCCTCTTAGCAGCTGTGCCGCTGAACGCCTTTGGTTTGGGACCAGAGGGTCGAGACGGCCACTGTCTCGCCCCGGCCGCTTCGAAGCTCAGCTCGTAGCCGTTAAAGGAGCTTCGGCTTTCACTTAGTCGGCTTAGTCAATCTGAGGTACACCAATCACAGCTGCATGCCTAACTGTGTCGAAGAGATTGGCGGGGGATGTGTTCGCTTCGTCGCGCTACGTGACATCGAACCGGGCGAGGAGATCACGTGGCTTGTGCAGCATAACTAAACCTCCGCCTCCTCCGCCTCCGTCTAGGTTTTGCTAGCCTGTTGGCTGCAGGTTTTCATACTTGGACCTCAGCTTGCCGCTGGAGGTGCACACCGCGCACGCGGGCGCATGCGCTTGCGCTCTGCTCGCGATTGAGTTCGCCCCCCGCAGGATCGGAAAAGCCTCATGAAGACCAGGCCTGGTCTGGGAAGATGTGATGTACCCCATGCCTGCCCCGTGCCCGCCGTGCCGCCATGTGCCACCCTGCCAGCTGGGACTTCTCCTGCGACTGCGCTCGCTGCCGAGGGCCGGGTTCTTAAGGCGAAGCTGAAGCGATTGCGCTGCGCCGTGTTCTGCGCAGGACTCCCTGCGCAGAGGTTTTGGCCTTTGACGAAGAGCATCTTTGCCATTGCGGTGCGATTCTTCTCCGGAAAGAAGAGACCTGTCGATGCGACGCGGAGTGCTGCAAAACTGCCGCCCGGCCGCCTTCAAGCTGTGCCTTTGATCCGATTCGCACAAAGAAGAGACGAATCTTTATGCCTGCCGCCTGCCACCACAGCCGTGCAACGGCCCAAAGCTTGGCCTTAGTTTCGGCCCCCGACTTTCTTCTTTCATAATATTCTTGTCTTCTTCTTTACGTCTATTCTTCTTCATCTCTCGTTTCTTTGTCTCTTCTTAGTTGAAATTGTCTTTACTGCAAGATTCTCCTCTATTTTTTAAAATATTTTGAATTATTATCATTTCATATTTTCTTTTTATGATTGATGATATATTGATTCATTTTGATATAGTCTGATTATTTTTTAATTGAAATATTCTCTATGATTATCTAGAAAATATCATTCTCTTCTTTTAAATCCTTAGATTTCTGAAGAAAATCAAATTTCAAATAATTCAATAGATAAATGAATAATATTGAAAGTTCATATTATTTGATTTATTTGATAAATATTTTCCTTTTCATATTTCGTAATCATTATAGATATATTTGTAACTTTTGTAATTTTTCCTAATTTTTTTTAAAAAAGAAAAATTATATATATATATAACAAAATTATTATAGAAATAATTTCTTAAGAAAATTCGGTTAAATATCGTTATGCTTAAATGAAAAATATTAATAAATATTCAAATTGGAATTTCTTAGATCTAAAGAAGAAATAGTTTTGAATTTAAGATATATTCTCTAATAAAACGGTGTCGTGCCGCTTGCGTGCATGATTTTGTGCGCGCTCTGGTCTTCCTGGAATGCGATCGTTTGCGGCATCTCTTCGTGAAAGCTCTTGTATATCTGTCTCGAGCTACTAAAATCCTGGAAATTTTAGTACCGCGAGCACTTCTCTCCCGGCTCTAAAATCTCGGAGATTTTGGTAGCTTTAGGAAATCTCACGGTATTAAAATCATTCAAATTTTGGTAGCTTTAGGCTGAGATGCTGGCGGTAATAAAATCTCGGAGATTTTGGTACAGGCACCCATACCCCGCCTGGGAGTTGCATATCCATTTATACTTGCCTGCTTGGGAATTGTATGTCCTCTTACACTTGCTCGACTTGCCGCGCACTTCTTCCGTTGGCTTCCGGCTCTTACCACTCTCATGATTGACCATATTTCGATAGCTTTAGGGCGTCAACTCAGCCGAGCATGCTAATCCACATGCCGTCAAAGCCACGAGCCGAGCTAACTTTATGCTTGCTGTATGGCAGAATGTGTGAACTATATATGAATCGGTTCTATTTCATCAAGATATATTTCTTTCTGATATTATATGAATGCACGTGGCCCTCATGTCCGCTTCGGTTCTATGAAGGCTGGCCGAATATCTTCATGTTTATGATTCCTGGCCTATGATTCGTCCTACAGGTCATTGGTGCGAGGGTGCGATAAAAATATTCTCGGAAGGCCCTCGCTTTGGACTTGTCATCGCAGACACTCGAATAAAAAATTTCAACAGGCTAAGCTGCAGTTCGTTGACGTGGATGCCCTGAAGTGCATTCCAGAGGGCTGCGTGGTACTACAGGCGCCGTCGTGGCCTATGATCCGGGGGCATAATTCCGCGGAGCATCCCGTAATTTGCGAGGTAAGATCCTTGGACTTGGTCGCTAGATATGGGCGCGCGACCTAGGATATTGCTCTTTCCGTTCCTACGCATCAAGCCGTGTAGCACTCTTTCAAGGATGATGACACAACCAGATGATGTTTCCAACTCGGAGGCAGCTGCAGATTACCGTATTCCGTTTGTGTTGCCAGGTTGGCTTTCCCCCCAAATATATTTGATCTTTTGCTACACACGTATATATAAACATATATATATAAGATAATTTGGACTCTTGCTGCGCACGCATACACATACGTAATTCATATACAAGATAGTTTGGATTCTTGATGCGCACGCATACACATATGTAAACGGTAGGACTCATGCTGCACACGCATATACACATATACAAGGTCCTTTAAACTCCTTCCGCTGAGCCCTTCTGAATTTGCTTTGCCCGTGCGAATTATCCGCAGATAATTCCCTGTGAAGCTCGACTGGGCTATGACTATTAATAAGGCGCAAGGACAAATGCTGTAGCCATACGACGTCTACCTCCCACGACCAGTCTTCACACACGGGCAGCTCTATGTAGCTCTTTCACGTGTCCGTGATTCTAATAGCATGCGTAAGCTGTTGGAAGCCGGCGAAGGCCAAGGCTTCGTGATATCTACCGATGCCCGTGTTAAAGCTGCCTTCACTCAGAATTTTAATTATCACGAAATCCTGCGATATTGAGTGTTGCTGCACGTCCAAAAGACTCTGCCGCCTCCTTTCCCCGCTGCTGGAAGCAGCGGGTCCACTCTAGTATTATAGAAAATTAAGATCTTCATTTATATAGAGGAGAAAATTTAATATTGGATTTAGCCCTCATCGTTCGTAGTTTTCTCGTCGTTCGGAATCGGGTCTGGTCGCTAGATTTATTATTGATATTCTCATAAATTGGATTGAGAAGATTTTGTAATGGAAGGAATTTCTCGATCGTCTTTAATATTAACTATTTCTAAATTTCTCGTAGCTCGGATTTCGGTCCGGCCGTTGAATTTGATTGCTAAAGATTTCTTATATTAGAATATGAGAAGTTTGTCAGAGCTACAAAAATTCTTCTAAAGATATATCGGTTGGACTTTATTTCTCATATTTGAGCTATAAGAAATCTTATGGGGAAGCTATGAAAAAAAAATGCGATAATTTTATTAAAAATATATTCTTTGCTAGGACTTAATCTTGATTATATATATCTGATAGATCTAACGGATGAAAATTTATACTTTATTCTTGCCTAAGAATTTACACCAATTCGGGGGGGTAAATTTATTCCTCTAGGGGGCGGGTTTGGGGGGTTAAATTTATATAAAAGAAACCAAATATATATGTTTATAAAGGAAACCAAATATATATATGTCCCAAAAATGACCCACTTAAAAGTGTACAAACTTTTGGATGAGCCTATCCGAAAGTATATATTCACTTTTGGATTTATTTTATTATTCCCCGCACCCCATCCCATATAATCCCACCCCACCACCCCATACGACCCGTACCCCCACCTCCCCTTTCTACCCTCTCCCATTCCTGATCCATCCTCTCCCTTCCCCTTGCCTTTGTGAAAAGGACTTTCTAGCCCTGTCATCTGCAAAATTTCATACAACATACATGCAGACAGATACATTCAAGTTCCTTTTTTCAACGACAAAGATATGTCTGCGCTTAGTGAGCTAGTCCAGATACATATGCACCATGGGCTGTTCTGGACTCGAAGTGGTATCCTAGTGCTAAGAAATATTATTTGTTGCCGTGGCTCTGGTCTCGAAGCGGTAGCTCAGTGCTAAGAAGTACGATGTGTTGCCGTGGCTGTGGCCTCATAAAATGGTGGCCTAGCGCTAAGAAGTACGATTTGTTGAGGTGGGAAATACGATTTGTTGCCGTTGCTCGAGGCTCGAAGAGGTGGCCTCGTGCTAAGAAGTACGATTTGTTGCCGTTGCCCTGGCCTCGAAGTATTTTCCCAATGCTAAGAAGAAGTACGATTTGTTGCCGTTGCTTTGGTCTCGAATTGGTGACCTAGTGCTAAGAAATATGATTTGTTGCCGTTGCTCTGGCCTCGAAGTGGTGGCCCAGTGCTAAGAAGTACGAGTTTCACTCGGCACTCTCCTACACAGCTCCGAGCACGCGTGCAGTCTTTTTGCGCGCAGTGCACTTGAAAGGTGTTTTGCCCCCTTTGGGCTCGGGGGCGGGCGGGCGGGCTACCTAAAAAACTAAGCTACCGGGCGGGCGGGCTACCTAAAAAACTAAGCTACCTTGAGCCTAAAGGTGCACTGAGACAGAGGTGAAACCCTACGTACACTACCGCTGTACTAAACAAGTTTCACTCGGCACTCACCTACACAGCTCCGAGCACGCGTGCAGTCTTTTTGCGCGCAGTGCACTTGAAAGGTGCTTTGCCCCCTTTGGAGCTCACCCCCCTCCACACTGACGAAGCCGGGACCGAAACGGTCCTCGGCTCAAAGCCTCAGGGGGAGAGGTGAAGCGCAGGTTTCCCTTTATACCCGCGATACAAAAATGGGGGACGCCATGTTGGCAAACCCGGGACCGAAACGGTCCTCGGGTTCCCTTCAAGGAGGAATGAGGTCAACCTCTGCCATAGCCTTGGCGACCCCCTGAGAGGAAGCTCTGGCATCCCAAGTGTAGCCATGATAGATATCACTTGCCCACCTTCCAAACCGCTGGAGCTGAGCTGAGTTCTGGTATGCAGCCCAGATGGCGGACGCGCCGCCGAATCTGAGGGAATGCGCTCCCGTTGCACCCCTCATGCCTTGCTGCTCTGCGGCCTTGGCGATGAGCATTTGGATGCACTCGCGGGTTACACCTTTCAGGAGGGGCTCTTCAGATTCTTCTCCCCCCCAATACCGGGTGGGGAAGGTAGAGAAGAACTTGATCGCAGCGTCGACAGGACAGAGTGGAGGGCTACCACGAAAGTGATTTCGAGTAGTACCTTTATTGAACCTGTCCGTCTTGCTCCCCCTTAAGGTGATAACTACCTCATCTGCGGAGGCGAAATCCGCTGAGGTGCAGTCCCGTCCCTCCCTTCTCAGCCTCAAGTCTTCGCCTTTGAGGTGTCGAGAGTCGGGGAGGTAAGGGACAGGGAGGAACTCGGAGGCTCTCAACAGAAAGAAATATCCGAGGCACAAGGCTAGCCAAAGATTGGGGGCTTCTCGCGGTGCGGTCTCCCACAGCTGAACAAAGAGGTATGACAGCATGACGGGAGTCACAGGTAGCCTTCGCGTCGGCGTAGCGTACCTCTTCTTGAAACCCGCCAACACCAGGAGCAAACGAGGTTTGCCTTCCAGAGGGTCCCTCAAACCCAAGGACATATGGGCCGACTTAATGGCCGCAAGTCTCATTTTGAGGGTTCCTGGCGCTCTGGCTCCATTGATAGCCGTGTGGAGGAGGAAGTCCAGCAGGAGCGTTTCTTCCTCGCTGGGCTCCTTTCCGCTAAGAAGCCACGGGACTTGACGGCGGCAACAGAAAAGCCTCCACCACCTTAATTGTCCCTGATACGCTTTCTGGGTGGTCAAGGTGAGTCTGTCCATGGCAACCCTCAGTGCTTCTGATTCGAAAGCCTCCCTACTGGCAAGAGGGAGGGCCAGCTGTGGCGTCTTGGTGCCGTAAAGCCTTCTGGCCGTGGACGGCCCTCCCAAGAACGGCGGCTCTCGCTGGCCTTTCACGGGACCAGAAAGTACTTCAAAAGAGGGTGGGTCTCCTTCCTCTCGAAATTCGACCTTCCGCCGGGGCTTCGCGCCACAGCGCTTCGCCGACGGCCCCTCACCCTCCTCCTGGCTGGGGGGAGGAGGTCCGGGAATGAAACATTCCTCGGACCCCTCCGATCCCTGCGGGAGGACAGGGTCGCTGGGGTCACCTTGTGCACCCCAAACACAGCCGCTCAGAAGGCCCGCGGCCAGGAACATCACACACACTAGCAGCCACAGGTGCGCCACAGCATGATTTGTATCCCTCTCGGCGTCGTCCCGGTTGCGAGGGCCAAGCTCTGGGGCGTACTCCCACCGAGTCTCCGGTCCACAGTCGCGGCAGGGTTGAGCCGACTTGTGAAGCGGTCGAACCAGCACGCAAGACGGGGAGTGGAAGGTGGCATCGTCACTGAGGAATTTCACCTCTGCCCTTCCCCCGTAGGGCTTGGCAGTCGGAGCTGGGATGAAGGTGGTGGGCGTGCACGCGGTACACGGCCGTGTCTCGTGTCCTGAGACGTGCGGGCAGGAGGGCCTATGGTATGAGGTGCCTCGAGGGGTGCAGACAACAGTAGTGTTGCCCACCCTCCTCCGTTGAAGCCTCTCTATGGGGGCCTCGGGCGGCGGCGGGGGAGGAGCCTTGGCGACCCCCCTCAGTTGGTTGGGTGCCGCGGGTTGCCCCAACACAGTTGGGGATGCCAGTGGCGCGTCTCTTGTCTGGCTAGACGAGGCAGAGCGGTCTGCTACCATACGCAAAGGAGGCGGCGGTGCCTTGGGGGGCGGTGCCCCCTCAAAGGAGGGTGGCCTGTTGAAGTTGTTGCTGTTGGTGTCTGTCCGCCGTCCTCTGCGGCAGCAGCACCGAACGCGCTTCCAACAAAACTGTGCCCAGAGGCAGACCACCACCCCCAAGGTGACGCCTTCAACAAGGCCTGTCTCCCCTAAATGCCGCTCTTGCTGGCGCACGTCCCTCCTAGGCGGAAGAGCAAGGGCACTTGCCTCGGGGAGCCCGGGGTCGAAACGACCCTCGGGCTCCCGAGGATTCTGTTCTTGCTTGCTTCGGCTGTGGGCATGTGCGATAGCATGATTCGTATCGCGGGCCGCGTCATCGTTGCGGGCCCGCTCTCGCAGTCGCTCTTTGCGCTGTTTTTTCTTCAGCTTTCGCCTGCGCGACGAATCTGGCGGCCTTTTGGCTTGGCGGGTTCCTTCTTGGGAAAGCAACGCGCGGAACTCGCGCAATTCCTGCCGCGCGGCCTCTTTCATGCGCTCGTCTAAGGCTTCTGCGGTGGGCTCCGGGTCCTCCCCTGGGGGCCGTTCGGCACGCGCCTTAGCGGCCTCTGCGCCCACCCTTGCCCTGTGCTCCTGCGCCCTGAGGCGGGCTTTCTCTTGTTTCCGCGCTATCCAAATCGGCACACCCGATTCGATAGCTGCTGTGAGTCTGTCCGACTTGAGGGGTTTCGCCGCAAGGGAAGGACGCACTGGGTTCCGTCTTTCCAACTCACGCATCTCAGCCCCCTGCCGGTCCAATTCCTCGAGGTACGAGGAGTCGGAAGCCTCGAGGGTCTTAAGACCCTTCACTTTGTCCTCCAAGAGTGCCTTCGCATCTTGGGACGCCGTTTTCCTCTGGCTAGCTAGCCGTTCCAAGTCCAGGACTAGCTGCGCCTTCGTTCCTCCGTCCCCAGCAGCTTCCTTAAGCGCTGCCGACAAAGACTGCCAATTTTTCGTGTCCGCGTCTGCAATCGCCCTTAGAAGTCCGACTTTGGGCGCAGTGAGGCGCACTCCTGTCTTCGGCACCAACGGTCTGGGGCTTCGCCCGCTTCGGCGAGCAGCCTCTTTTCCTCTTCATCCAGTGTTGCCATCTGCTCTTCAAAGGTCAGGCCAGGCTCTTCCACCACGGGCGGTCCGACCGTTCGGAACAACCGATTCCGAAGATATCTCTACGCAACAGCCGGTTGGCCTAATCGGCCGTTCGATTTGTGGCACCATATGACCGTTTATATGACGCAAAGTGCATGACTTTTAATATATACCTGCCAGAACTGCGAACTTCCAGAACGCAAAACCTTGATTGCAGAGGGAGCGAATGCGCAACCAATGAGAACGGGTCTGAAGCTTGAGCAATTCGTGAACAGAAGACAGTTAATGTTTTAACAACAATAAGAACTGCCTAACTTGGGCCACAAGTACGTGTACGAAGACAGCTAAGCTTGATTTTAATGTATTTGTGTATGAGCGTTATCCAGTGGTTTATTAAGGTGTAGAGTTTAGAGCTCAGAGTGCTTTTATGGTATCATTATTGCTATTGGTATGCTGATTTCCATAAATTTTGCGTTTATCAAACATATATGTCTATATACATGCATGTTTGTTATATGTGTTAGGTCCTATGTTTTGCATGTCCATGTAACATGTTTATCCTCACAAAACACAATATGGATAGATATATAGATAGAAAGATAGACAGACTAGATGCAAATACAGATACAGGTATAGATATACAGAAGTAGATAGCTAATACATTGCCACCTGCACCACGTCAGTTGCGAAGCGACAGTTCTACTTTGCATATATAGACGGAGAATGATGGAGACCTCCAAAGCCTTCCATGTGAGTTTCGCTGGACCGAAAAATTGCAAACAACAATTCATGCGTGTGTGTGTGTGCACATGCGTGCATGCGTCTACATGGTTCGTTGTTCTATGTATTGACTTATCCTTGTACCTACTCTTTTCTTGGTTTTATGTTTGATATTATTATGTACGCACGCACATACACATCCATTCACGCGCACGAAATGTTGCATGTGTGTGTGTGACGGAAGTCAGTCAGTCAGTCGATCTGTCTGTCTGTTGTCAGAACATGTATGTATGTGGGTGGGTGGGTGGGTGGATGGGTGGGCAGCTGAGGTAGCCTTTATTAGGTGTAGGCAGGAGCGTACGTACGTAGGTACGTATGTATACACACATGCATATATGCATGCATGCATGCATGACAACACGACTACACATGTAAGACATAGTGTCAATCGGACGGCTGATCCGCATGAGGCGCCATGTTGCTTCTGATGGGCTGGATGCCTCCAACACTTGTAGCTTGAGTGCAACCTGTTACCAAACCGTATCGCCGTATCAGTTAAACACTGCTTGCAAACATATGACAACAGGTTGATATATGATAGCAACGTGCTACCTCGCCCAAAAACTACAACGAATACAACGCTTAAACCGGTTTGGAAGAGCGTATTTGAGGATTGGCGCCCATCCCCCATGGTTGCGGACAGCGCGGTGACAATCACGGGCTTGATGCTGGACCCTGTTCCAGGAAGAGGCCCATTGCGACGGAACGAAAATTCAACTGCAGGCTGGATTGCTGGTGTTTGAATGCTTATATCCAAAAAGCGGTCCCCAAAAAGCCTATGCACCCATCTTTCGTGGCTTCGGGCATGGACAAGGTGTTCGAGACCTTCTTCAACAACACGAAGCTTCCAAGGGCCTTTCAGAAACTTATGTCAGAAATGAAACACCTGAAAGACAAATTTTTTGTGCTTGAACACATGCTTGCTTTCGAACAGCAACGAGTTTGCCCAGTGGCACCTTTAAGCTGCAAACAAAGTTTGATGTTGTGGCAACTTTCGCGCAAATCTGAAAAATGACACTGTTAACTCGTATGTTGAGAAAAGCTGCCAGTGTTTTTCTGCCACGCGGATTTCACAGTTTGCAAATGTTTGGGGCACTTTGCCTGTCCATTTTTGGAGTCAGAAAAACACATTCAACAGTTAATACATTATAACTACCAGAAACTTCATAGCTGTACGAAGTGCTGTTGACTCATCCGCTGCCGCATGTAACAATCCATCCCGTCAATTCCCAAATCAAGCCCTGAAATACTGTGTCATGCATGGCCTCAGGATGCAGCTAACGCAAAAGCTGAGCGATTTACATACCCTTGGCAATCCGAGTGGCTTGTTTAGCATGGTATATGGTGCTAGAGCTCGAGAAACTATAAAATGTGTGAACATAGCCAAACACGCATTGTTCACAGTGAGTAACAAAAGAAAAGCTAAAAGTCTGGAAATCCAATGCTCTACAGTTCGACATGCCTGCCGCACCCGCTGTCTGCAACCTGGTTTTACATATTCGCCCGCATCTTGCGGGGTCCGCCCACCGACCGTATTTTCTTATTGTTTGTCGTGAAACTCCCTTTCGGATGTCTTTATTTGCGCAATGCACCCTCTTTCTCCAGCTCGTCGAATAGTTTCGTTCTGTGCGCTTTTTTTAGCACTACGCGCACTATGTTTTCCTATGGTCCCTTTGCCCGGTATGTTTTGCACGTATGGTTGTTTTGCTCCGTGCTGTTCAATAACTAATGCTCTTCTGCCTTCTCTGTTGTTCAAGTTCGTTCACTAGTTGTCTATTTCCTTGTGCTTGGTTCTTCTAGTCCGCAGTCTTCCCGAACTTCCGTATTGTATATGTTTTAGTTGCATGCTTATCCCGGTGAAGTCTCTTATCTTCCCTTACTGCCGAACTTTGCTGGTCGTCCAGTGTACGAGTACATGCTCACCCTTGTTTACAGATAGCAGAAATGCAAAACAAGGAGACGCAGGTCTCCACGTCGCATTTCTGTCCAATTGGCTTATCGATTTTGAGCTCTGGAAACGAGTTGCCTTTGCACCTACGTTCCTACCGTATCTTCTACGAGGAAACGACTATAATAGTAGTTTCAAGTCTAACTGGCGTATAGCTGTCAACTTCCGACCCGAGTGGACAAAGCCAAAGTTTAACCCAGAATCCGATTCCGTGCGCCTTATATTCTCCGAGAATCACCGGGAGACCACATAAAACCATGCATCTTCTCCCGACCAATACCTCTGGCCCTGATTGACACCCAGCGATCCAGTGCCTAAACGCGTATGATAAGGCTCAAGCCAAATGTCCTCCCACAACTAACCGCCGGTCGTCGACACGAGGAATGGAATAGCTATTTCACCAAAGGAAACTCAACAAAGTCATACCCAGTTTTTGTCATGGTATCAATCTGTTGACACCGTTTGTACAACTGCACGCATAGAGCGAAAGCGATACACGCACCTTGCGCCGTGCAATTTCTGGTCCTGTGTGCATAGTGTGCCTGCATGCAAAAATTAAAACAGCCGATACACGCTGATACACGCTAACCGGTCGTTCAAACGGCCGGATACACGCAGATACACGGTGATACACGGTTGGGGTCTTGCTCTAAACTTCTAGAAGATTGCGTCAAAACGCACAAACTCATTACCCAATCAGTCGGCCGGTTCAATCAACCCAAGCTTGCAACGTTGCGCGACTCTCAGTGGGGTGCTCAGATGCTTTGCGGAAGGATTTTAGAGATGCTGAATGACACCAAGATGTGACAGCGACTAGTACAAGAACGGTCGATGAGCAACTTTGAATCGCTGCACGCTGACTGTTTTGTTTATGCTGCACGCGAACCGGATATACAAGCTGTTGCGAGTCAAATGCTTTCAAGCTGTATTCCGTTCACATGGTTGTACATATCGCGGGAATCTGCAGGGGAAACAACGCCACATCTCAAACAGTCTTTCCCATTTTTGCACAACGACAGGTTGGATGTGCGTTGGAAACAGCTGCTTGATTTTTATTGCACATAAACTGGCCCATAAACATGTGTAGAAGGCATACGACGAAGTCGATTCGACGATTTTCGAGATCGGGTGCCGTGTTTGAAAAAGTACATTGCCTATCCTACCTTTGACCCTTCATGCTGCAAACTTTCGGAGTAGATCATGGAAGCGACAAATTATGAGCATCACCCTGCATTCAAGCTTTGTACGCTATGTCTAGTCGCAAATGCATTGTCCTAAAGAGCATGTCCGCTGTAAACAATATACGATTCAGGGTCTGTATGCTCCTGCTTCATTTCAACACGCTCATGCTGTCCTGCAAGTGTCATGATCTCGGCCACGTCCCAACACCACGAGCAGTAACACTGCCTTCAATCGAATACGTAATGGTCTAACGCCAGCACACGGTGGAGGCACCAAAGGCTATCAACAGTTGCGACCATGTCGGGAAAATGCACAAATTCAGGCACCTCCAGACGTGTGTAAATACATACATACACACACACATATATATTCATGTATGTATATATATATATAAACATGTTTAAACAAATTTACCTACAAGCGCATGCAGATATCTGTACGTGTATGTATGATGTATATGTACGATGTTATGTATTATGATGGATTATGGG